TACTCAGATGCCCTCTGATTTTTTTCCTATTTTTCTTCCAACATTTTTCCATATACTAAAAAAAAGTCACAAGAGGACTTTGGACTTGGAAATAATCTTCAGTAGTCAAGTTTATTAAAATCAGGTCCAAATGACATTTATTAAAAATAAAATAAAATAGGGGCACCTGGGTGGCTCAGTCGTTAAGCGTCTGCCTTCGGCTCAGGTCATGTTCCAGGGTCCTGGGATCGAGCCCCGCATCGGGCTCCCTGCTCAGCGGGAAGCCTGCTTCTCCCTCTCCCATTCCCCTTGCTTGTGTTCCCTCTCTCACTGTGTCTCTCTCTGTCAAATAAATATATAAAATCTTTAAAATAAATAAATAAAATAAATAAAATAAAATAAAGCTCTCTATAATGGTTGTGAAACACACCCACTACATTGATAATCGGTAGCATTTTAACCAGAACAGAGAACACTCTCTTGCTACCTGCTTCCACGCCAAAAATGAGGACAGCTATGATGATGCAACAACATCATAAGTCACCATAAGCATCCTGTCAGCTCATAACAACTCAATTAACTTGCGCTCCCTTCTGAAAATGAGCAAAAACCATATTCTTTTCCCAGAAAAGAATATTCATAAATTTTTTTCTTTTTCTTTCTTTCTTTTCTTTCTTTCTTTCTTTTTCTTTTCTTCCTTCCTTCCTTCCTTCCTTTTTCTTTCTTTCTTCATAAATAACCAAAAACCATATTCAATTTTCCCAGCAGGAATTTTTTATTTAACCTGAACTGTGTCTAAGTGTGTCTTAGATTCTGCCAAGGTGGTCCCCAGGTGAGAGGCACCGAAATGTCTCTAAGGAGTTCTGCTCCATCCAAGAACATTTACCAAAGGGTAATCCACCTTCTCCTGTCCCTGTTCTCTCTCTTTCTGCTAACTACAACTCTCCTCCACCCAGAAAGAAGCTGAGCGCCCCTCTCTCCGCAGCACCTTCCCTGTCTTTGCCATTCCAGACAGAGCTGTATTGGGATGGAACCTAACATGGGGCAAACATTAGGCGTGGCTGTCGCTTCTCATAGAGATGGTGTAAATTTCAACACCTCACGCGTCACTTAAACTTTCCAAAGAATTTTGCCCGTCTTAGAAGAACGTAGCACTTTAAAAAGTGGCCTCTGTTATTTGATTATAGGTCCACACTCCAGCTTGTTTAAACAGCAGACTTTAACAAAGACAACCTCTTACACTTACTGCCCTTCTTGGAGAGGACAGTCTCTCAAGTGACAACAGAGAGCTTTGAGTGGTGGACAGGCTTTGCAGAGGCACAGTCTGTCTGTGCTTACAGAGGAGGTGGATGGTGCTACATCCCAAACACACATTTCCCTCACACACTCGCTCAGGCTTCGGGTCCCCATTGTCTGCCCTTACAAAGGTTCGAGCTTTTTGACCCAAAGCAAGGGGCGGCCAGCAGGGCCGGAGGAATGGGGTGGGAGATGCTTTAGGTTTCTCTAGAAGGAAAAGGAAGCCCGACGCAAACATCTCCTGGGGGTGAAAAGGAGTCACTAACACACACACACACACACACACAAGCCCCTTTAGGCAGCGACAAGAGTGGTTGTTATGGCAGATGCAAGTTGCTCCCCAAGTATGTCCTGAATGTGGGAGGCCACAGCAGCTGCCTTCCCTCGAGACAGCCCGCAGGGCCGTTGCCAGGAGCTATAATGACCTGCTGGCCCTTGCCAGCCGTCACACTTTGCATACCACCAGAGCTCCGGTCCGGTAGAAGGGGCCATCCAAGTCACCGGTTTCAACGAGCGCCAAATCCTGTGCCCATGCTGGGCCCGCACGGCCACCCAGAACCCTCTTGTAGGGCTCCATGGAGAGCACTCCAATGCACGCTGACCAGCATGTCCGGCTGACAGTGTCCTTGGCCAGGACAGAAATGTGGTGGGGTCAAGAGCTAAAGGGAACCCTCAGGGACACCCCCAGGAAAGAGGGGCCCTTTGAGGGGGAGAGCAGCCTGCGTCTTCCCATCTCTTTGATTCTTGGGGCGCCCCTGTCCATGGATGGGAAATGTCCAGGGTGCTGTCTGGCCACTCTGTCCCAGGCATTAGCTTCTGTCTCTCTCACTCACTTCCTCTTCCTGCTGGCAAGGAAAGGCTCCAGGGCCCCTGCCCCGCATGCGGACAGAGGAGGAATGCCCCAATATGGTACCTCCGCTGCAGGACAGAGGGGTCCCCAGGGTGAAGGTGGGCACCTAGTGCAGGGTTTACCGAGGTGGGATCCCAGGAGCCCTCTCTTCTGGGACTTGGCTGGAACCCATCAACTGGTGGATACTGGCTTGGCCTGGGCTGGTCCCTCTGTCCTATCCCCCTGGTCGCCAACCCTCCCCATCGTGGCCTCCTCTTGGCTTGCTGGAAGCCTGGTCCAGCTGGAGGGAATTCTAGAAGCCAGCTCCTGATGGTGCCACTCTGCGCCTCCTGTCCGAAGGCGCACCGTCAACCCCAGAAGCCCACTGCCCCCCAGGAACCTCAGGTATACCATCTACAGCAGGGATTTTTTAAAAATGCTCAGCTCACAGGGTTCCAGGGAGAACCAGATGTCTGTAAACATGCTTTGAAAAGCAGAATGCTTCTCAAACGGGAAGTGAGTTGCTCACCTTCTTAGAATTTCTGAGGTTGATTTGCTTGGTCTCTCTCCTTCCTGTCAGTACATTTCTGCTTCGAGACTCAGCTCCCCACCGCCCAAGGTTTCTGACTCTCTTCCCACGTGACCTCTCCAACACTTTGTCAAGTCAAGGCCTCCTGAGGACCAGGGGGTCCTACCAGGGTCCTTCCCTCTCCATGAAACCTATAGGAAACTCCTGGATTAAAGCACATTGGGAGTTTGAACATCTCAAGGGATGAGCCTGTGAACTAGGGAGATCTCAGACCCATCCATAGACACCCCCAGACACACAGTAGTAGCAAAGCCCTGTGCTGGGCTTTGGAAGGATAGAGAAGTGAACAGGTGGTCCCCACCCTCAAAGCAATCACACTCAAATGTGGAGATGATCTCCAAATAACACAATTTAGGCCACAGGGACACACTATCGATGGTTTGTCAAACATGATGAGAGGTGGGAAAGATGAGAAATCATCAAGGCTTCAAAAGGAAAGTAATATTGGAATTGAACCAAGGCATGGGCAGGATGTCGCAGAGAGAGCTAGAGGTCAGAAGCAGCGATCAGAGTCAGCCTATGGAGCAAATGTTGGTGGAAGAAAATGGAAATGAAGCAGCCCTGAAATCAGCAAGCCCAGCCAACAGGTTCCTCGAGCTGGAATCAGTTTCCATGGTGGACAAACATCCCTCTTCTTACCCCAAAGAGGACCAAGATGGAAAAGCTCATTTTCTTTGTTACCCTTGACGTCACGCTGTCCAACAGGACTTTCTGTGACGAAGGTTATGTTCTCTATCTGTGCTGCCCAATTGATGGCTTCTAGCCACCTGGAACTGCTAAATGCTCAAACAGTGCTGGTGCAACTCAGGAACTAAATTTCTAACTAGATTTTATTTTAATTAATTAGATTTTTTAAGATTGTATTTATTTATTTGAGAGAGGGAGAAAGAGAGAACACAAGCGGGGGGAGGGGCAGAGGGAGAGGGAGAAGCAGGCTCCCCACTGAGCAGGGAGCCTTACACCGGGCTTGATCCCAGGACCCTGAGATCATGACCTGAGCCGAAGGCAGATGCCTAACAGATTGAGCCACCCAGGTGCCCCAATTAATTAGATTTTAATAGCCACAGAGGGCTAGTGGGGGGCAGAGGTTTAGATACCAAAGCCCTCTTCCCCATGCCACTTTGCCATGGTATGATGACAGGCTGCAGTAGTATGCCCAGGCATTGGGGTAGAAAACTTCCAGAGCCACCAAGTATGTCATTTGGGGAAGAGAAAGATACAGTCCCACCCTCAACAGATATGAGCATGTGGGTGGATTTTTGTTTGCTTGTTTCTGATAAGAGGCCAATTTCTGTGTGGTTTTTGCTTCAACAAGAGTGGAGTCACTGGTAGAATGACTACAAATCCCTTTTGGGGAGGAAAGGTACCTGACCCCCAAAGCTCCTAAGTCCCTTAAAAACCTTTCAATCAGAGGGAGGGGAGACAGAGTGGCCTGGAGTAACTATTCTACTACTAGTAGTCCCTGAGCCTAGAAATTTGGTCCTCAAAACCTGGCCAGAAATCACACATTTAAAATTTTAAAAAAATATATGTTACACCCATGTTCAGTGCAGCATTATTCACAAAAGTCAAAAGGTGGAAGCAACCCAAATGTCCATTTACGGAGAAATGGGTAAACGAAATGTGGTGTACAAACACAATGGAGTATCATTCAGCCTTTAAAAGGAAGCAAATTCTAACAAGGGCTACAACAACATGGATGAACCTTGAGGACACAAGCCGGTCACTAAAGACAAATGCTTTATGATTCCACTTAAAGTCAAATGCATAGACAGAAGAATGGTGGTTGCCAAGAGTTGCACAGGGGGTGGATAGGGAGTCACTGGTTAATGAGCACCGAGCTCCAGTTTTGCAGGATGAGGAGTTCTGTGATTGGTTGCACGGCAGTGCGAATGTACTAAACACTATTAAGTGTATACACTACAATGCTTAAGATCGTAAATATTATGTTGCTTGCCTTTGGCCACAATTGACGATATGCACGTGTATACAATAAAGCAGAGGCAGAGAGGAGGAGGCAGTGCAACCAGTCCTCCTCCAGGAACAAGCGCATCTCACCCCAAAAGGCGCCGTCCCTCCCCTCCCTCCCGGGGGCCCGTCCTGTGACACTCACCCGGGCGCGCACAATAACCTTCTTGAGCGGTGCCAGCCGCACCTCCGCGCCGGCTGAGGCGGAGCGGCCAATGAGCACGCGCCTGAACCCGGCCTCGCGCCCCCATTGGCTGCGCCCAGCGGCCCGCGGCCCCGCAGGTTCCCAAGCCGGGTTTAAAGCGGTCGGAAGCGCGCTGCTGCCCTGCCATCGGCTGCCCGCGCGCAGGTCGGCGGGGAGGGGCGGCCTGCCGAAGGGCCCACCCCGGGGCGTTCCTGAAGGGCGCCCTCGGCCGCCCCCACCGCCCCCCAGATGTACTATGCGCTTTCCCAGGCGCGCGTGAACGCGGCCCCCGCGACCATGCTGCGGCCACAGCGGCCCGGAGACGTGCAGCTCGGGGCCTCCCTGTACGAGCTGGTGGGCTACCGGCAGCCGCCCTCCTCCTCCTCCTCCTCCTCCTCCTCCTCCTCCTCCACGGCGGCCCCCCTCCTCCCCAAGGCGGCGCGCGAGAAGCCGGAGGCGCCCGCCGAGCCGCTGGGCGCGGGAACGGGGCCCGGCGCGCACGCGGGCGGCGGCTCCCGGGCGGACGCCAAAGAGGAGCAGCAACAGCAGCTGCGGCGCAAGATCAACAGCCGCGAGCGGAAGCGCATGCAGGACCTGAACCTGGCCATGGACGCGCTGCGCGAGGTCATCCTGCCCTACTCGGCGGCGCACTGCCAGGGCGCGCCCGGCCGCAAGCTCTCCAAGATCGCCACGCTGCTGCTCGCCCGCAACTACATCCTGCTGCTGGGCAGCTCGCTGCAGGAGCTGCGCCGCGCTCTGGGCGAGGGCGCCGGGCCCGCCGCGCCGCGCCTGCTGCTGGCCGGCCTGCCCCTGCTGGCCGCCGCGCCCGGCTCCGTGCTGCTGGCGCCTGGCGCCGTGGGGCCTCCCGACGCGCTGCGCCCAGCCAAGTACCTGTCGCTGGCGCTCGACGAGCCGCCGTGCGGCCAGTTCGCGCTCCCCGGCGGCGGCGCGGGCGGCGGCGCGGGCGGCCCAGGCCTCTGCACCTGCGCGGTCTGCAAGTTCCCGCACCTCGTCCCCGCCGGCCTGGGCCTGGCCGCAGTGCAGGCGCAGTTTTCCAAGTGAGGGCCCGCGCGGGCCGGGGGCGCGACCTAGGCCCGGCCTCCCGCCGCCTCGCTTCTCCGCGCCCCTGCGCCCTGCAGTCGGGGATGGCTAGCCAAGCACGGAGGGCACTTCCAACCTTCTGGCCCAGAGGAAGGGACCGTGGGGCGCCCTCTTCCCCGCCCCCACCCCGGGGAAATTAAAGTGACGCGAGCGGATGTTCGACGGAGCGTTGGGGCCACTGGGGGGGTCCTGAGTCCATTCCGGCTGCTTTGGGCAGCAAGTGCGCGCTCCCAACCCCGCTCTTGCCCAGCTCCCGTCTCTCCCGGTCCCTGAAGTCTTGCGCTTCGCGGGGGTGGTGCGGATTTTAGGGCACCGCGCGGTGGCTTTGGCTTGCTCTGGGTGCAGCGGGAGGACAGTCCTAGCGCCACGGCTCAAAGAGGCGACACCTGCCCAATCAGGGGGCCAAGTGGCTGCTCTCCGAGGGCAGGGAAAGGGTTCTTTTGCTTCTCCCCAGCCAGAGGTCACATACTCCTTTGTTCCTACCAGCCAAGCCCTGTCAAAAGAGGCTGCCCGACCTCAGGAAGCCGAGAAAGACCAATTAGTCCGCGCAGATGGTCCCGGGCTTAGCAGACGGACTGACCCTCGGCTGTGGCGGGACGGTTGGCATCGCGGTACCGTGGGAGGAGGCGTTGATAACTCCAGGGTACTTGGGTGTGCTGGGTTGGGAAGTTGGTCCGCTTTTATATCCTGGCTGTTAGAGTGCAATTTTTGAGAATCGCCTAAGCAGGGGTTTTGTTGCGGAGATTATTCGCTTTTAAATCCTGGGGTCTTCTTAAAAAGACAATTTAGAACTTGAGATTCACCATTTTGTTTCCCCTTCCCCAAGGTAGCGTAACCAATATTTGAGCTTGCTTAAAAACAGAAACCAACCCCTTTGACGCAGACGGTGTTCTCGGTTTACTAAAATAGGTAACGCGGCACTTCGCAGTCACCGCCACTCTTGTCTGAAAGCACGATCGCTAATTAACTTTCTCATTAAAAGACGCAGAGGAGGACCTGAGCCCCAAACCTCCCGGCGGCTCGGCGGGTCCCCGCTGTGGTGGCGACGGCGGGATGGTGCTTTCTGCGCCGTCCCTTTGCGCGAGGGGTCTTTGCCCAGCGCTCTGGGCAGGTCTTCCCGCAGCAGCTTTACATTTGAAGAACTGCCTGGATGACCGGTCTTGATTTGTTGCAGACGTTAACAAATTATTTCACCCAAGATTATTTTATGATCTTTCAGCAGCTTGCTTTGAAGTCTCTGCTTAAGGTTTTTGGTTGTTGGTAGTAGCCGAATTTAACTGGCATTTTATTTTATCTCTAACTTTGTTTTGTTGTTCTGTGAAGAATCAACAAAATAAAACATTTAAAGACCTAACATTTTCCTCCGATTTGTTTGTTAATAAAAATGCCCTCGTGGGGCACCTGGGTGGCTCAGTCAGGTCAGCCTCCGACTCTTGATCTCTGCTGAGGTCTTGATCTCAGGGTCCTGAGTTCAAGCCCGCGCTGGGCTCCGCGCTCTGGGCAGAGCCTGCTTAAAATAATAATAATAAAAAAATGTCCTGGTGCGCTGGTGGATTCAGATCCTCAGGATGAAGGTTAATGGTTAAAGATGACCAAGGTTCAAAGTTTTTAAACCTGGCTTCCTGATTTGTAAAATGATCTAATGAGTAGGCATCTGCATGTCAAGTTCAGGCATCAGGCAGAAATACAAGGGCCGAAAGTGAGTGGGTGGATGTCAACTTCAGGCATTAGCTCTCAGCCAAGATGGATCTCTTGACTACTTCCTCCTCTAAAAATGAGTTTAAAAATACATTGATCATAAAATTATTTTGTATGTCAACATCCTTCTCAAAAACCCACCTTTTCCATCTCAGTGGACAGAAACTTAAACAGTGTCATACAGCTATGAGCTTCCCCCATTCTTTACATAAGGTTAGAGTTGTCTCCTAGGAAGTCATGACCTTAGAGATCATTCTAAGAGCCAAAGACAGCTCCTCTGGGTGACTGGTGATGTTACAAAGAATTTGGAATGTTGACTTGCTCACATGCAATATTTAAACATTTTGTAGTTATTAATGAAATCCAACTACTGTTTAAAGGCATGGGGTTAATAAAGGAGAAAGTGTCCCCCTTAATCTGCAGGAAATGAAAGAAAACTTGAGGTGACTTCACTTTATCCATGTTGGTTTATCTGAGGTATGGATGCACTTAGGGATGGTGAGCATTCATTTTTGGGAACATGTTGTAGGGTGCAGAGAGTGGTGCACATGCTGGAAGGATGGAATTGCCTTCCCGACCATGCTGGTTAAGTGTCTATTTCCTCAAGGAGGAGGCAGGAGAGGATATGAGAGAAAGAAGCTCTTATGCACCAACACATTTCAGGAAAGAGCTTCTCATTCTTCCCAGACTCTGCCATCAGAAAAGTCACAGGCTTTTGGAATAAGTAAATAAGTAAATGGGGATTTTCTGCTTATTTAATCCCCATCCTTGTTTGCCTTGCATCTTGACTCGGAACCCAAAGTAAAAATCGACAACTAAATCAAAATCAAATCAGGACCTCCCTGAAAAAAAAATATTTCTAAGAGACTAGAAATAAACCATTCTCCCCACAGTCCCAACTCCATCGCCATATGCCACCATCATTCCAAAACACATAGGAAAGAACAGGGCAGAGAAGGGGTGGGTGGTCTCCCTCTCTCTGGTCTCTACTTATAAATCGGAGTTAAGTACCCAGGGCTTACAGAAAAGGTAATACTGTGTGTGATTTTCTTACTTAATTGAGAAAATCATGCTTTCCAGAACTGCTAAAGATTATGAATGCATTTAACAAGAACCTACAGAGCTGTTTTGAGTCTCATCAAAATATTTAAGTTATCCGCCTGCACATAGCATCGCTTGGCTATGGTGCTAAACAAGATTAGCAGACTCGCTCCTTAAAAGATTACATCCTGAAAAATCGCATCAGTGGGCATTCAAGAGTCCTGTAGGATGAAGCAGAAAACTGGTAATTATATATGGTGTCCATAACAAATTTAGACCTCTCCACGTTAAGTCTGTGGCAAGGCAGAGCCTGGGGCAGGTGCATTGTTTAAGCCTAGACACGTATGGGGTAGACCGTGGAGCTGTTCTTTCAGATCGGCAATGTTATGTCACGTGCAACAGAGCTAGCTGATGTGTCCACCTCACTTGATTTTAGCTAGAGCGAGCTTTTTGCAGACGGAACAAATTTAACCTGATCTTTGAAGGGGTTAGGGAAGAAGAGAAGGAATAAAGGAGGCTCCTTGAGAAAAGTCCACCAGGCCTCAGAAGCAAGATGAGAAAGAACATGTGACTCGCCGCCCAGAAAGATCCCTGCACCCAGCCAACCATCAATGTGCAATCCCAGTGGTTGGGGTGAATAGAACCTAAGGGGTAAATACATGAGGGCTTGAGAAATTAGACTGTTAGATGTATGGGAGGCCAGGTGAGCAATCGGTAAACGGAAAGCAGATTGAATGCACCATGGGATTTACCTAGCCCGGAGTGATGGTCTATTTACAGATATTCTCCTCTAAGGGAAGCTGATTACACCAGGTATGAAAATATAACCTTGCGAAATACATAACTTAGGAGGTGAGTGTCCCCATCAAGGAAGACGTCCACTACAAGCATGGAAAGTATTTCAATTTCCCAAAGGTCAGATTGTTAACAATAGTGCTTCATGCACCCCTCTGGTTCAGGGTCACATGAAAGCACATCTCCTCCAGAAGGTATTGTCTTGCTCATGCACTACCCCTTCCATTTCTGCACACTCAATAAATATTCAGTAAGAAGATCACCACCTCTACAGAAGTGGGCTCATGAAGCAAACGTTTGAAAAATGTCGTGTTTTTCTAAAACACAAATTCACTTTTTTCTAAAACACAAATTCACTTTTTTTAAAGCAGGTTTTAGTTGTTAGGGAAAAAAAATTTTTTTTCAAGCAAGGTCCAGCTTATCCAACCACATTTAAGGTGTGAGAAAAAAGTAGTAAGATATTCCTTAAGCTACACACAGACTAGCCTCATTATTGACGGAGATGCTGCAAATGACTTCTTCAAGCACTTCCCATTCGGTCCTTTTGAACTAAGCCCAGCATAAAAGCTGAGATGCCTGATCAGAAATTAAGCCAAATTCTTTCTGTTCACATGGGATTAGCTGCTCCATCAGGGAACTTCCCCCTTTGTGTCCAGCTAATACTGAAGGGCCAGAGCTCAGGCTGAGCCCAGGACAATCAGGTCAATAGTCCCTGTCCTTAAACACTACAGGCTTCTTGATGTTCAGGGGAGGGCGTCACTTGGATTGAAAGTGAAGGGAGTGCATTTCTCCTTCACTCAGCCAGAGGATAGAGCACACAGGTGGGCCACCGCCGGGGACATAGGCCACAGGTGCCAGATCCTCTCTCTAAATCCCACAGAGTGCTCATGGGGCAAGAGAACTTAGGTATTCTCTGTCCACCCTCTTCCCTACTGAATAAGGCAACAGAGGCCCGGGAAGTTCAGGAGACATGCTCAAGGCCACACAGGTAGTCGGAGGCAGTGATGCGAGGGACCAGTACCTGCCTGGAGGAGGCAAAAGCTGCTTCCCTGGCTTATCTTGTGGGACTAGAATGTCCTGCAAACAGTAATTGTGGCAAGAGATGAACCCATTCTTCCTGCCTCCTGGAAAATCTCCGACCTTTTGTGTCCAGCCCTCGGGCTGCCCCTATGAGCAGCATGGAAGAAAGGCAGACTCGGGACCAGTCCCCCACCAGGTGCCCAGCTGCGGATCAACCACCTGAACTTTCTCTGGCAGCCTTGTCCCCTAGCCCCGAGGAAGACCCACACTGGTGACAGGGAGCGACAGAGGCGAAGCAAACCCTTTGAGAGAGCCTCTGATGGTGACATGTTTGTCATCAGGTTTCCAAAAGCAACCAGCAGAAGGCGAGGGAGCAGACACCTGATGGGCAAGGGCAGTGGGCTGGAGGGAAAGCAGCGTCCTAAGGGCTCTCCCTTCTGTGGCGCCTTTCACCCTTTCCACGTAGACACTCGGTGTTCTGATGCTCATGGGCTCTGATTTTCTCAACAATGTGAGCATCTTTTTGCCAAGTGTTTTTCATGGATGTGAGTGAGTTTTCCAAGAGCCTGCTCAGCAGGAGTCAGGCTGGCTGCCACCAAGGCCCAGGATGG